AGTTAGGCTAAAAGTTAACACTTCATTATTTGATCTCCCATTTTGATCCATTGTAAAGTTGGGCTAGTTTTTAATACTTTCTGCTTTCTTTTTCATTGAGGCTTTCCTCTATTTTATTTTGTTCTTGTTGTGAGCTTTATTGTTTCTTTGTTTTGATATGTTTTTTGTGATATGAAATCCCGAATGAGTGAATCTATGAATAATGGAATAATGGCTTCTTAGGGGTATGGCGGAAGAGGTTGGGGGAAATTGGGGAGCTAATGACAAATGAGTACAAGAGTGAAGAGAGTGTTATACTATTGATGGTGTTAATGATTGACAACTCTTCTTGATAGGACTAAACTACTGAATTATATGCTATGTGGATTATGTGTCAATATTTTTTTTTGAAAAGAAAGAAAACTATGTATCCCAGTTCCTTCCTCACACACATGGGGCCACTATGAGTCGAATGGGCTCATTGGCAACTGGTTTGGGTTGGTGATAAGTCCACAGCATACGATTTCACATCTCTGAGTATCATTGTCCTCATGGGGTCCAGTCTAGCTCAATCCTCAAGGAGATTGGCTTTGGAAAAGTATTGAAACCAAAGACTGCCTTAAGCCTCACAGTGCCTTATTCACCTGGACCTCATTTCTCATTTGAACACGACCTGAGTTAGTCATCAAGACCCATTCATTTTGGCCTTGGTGTAGGTTTCTCCCCACCCACCAGCTCCTATTCTTTCACTTCTGCACCTCCACACACAGGGTACTCCCCCACCGGCCTCCTCCAAGACCAGTCACTTCATCCTACCAGGTCATTGAAGAGAGAACTATTCACTAACAACATCCCTATGAGCCCCGCTATGGGGTAGACTGTGATGAGGCAGCCTGGTGTCCAGGAGCAAAACTGCTGTAGTGGAATGACTACCTTTTGTCCAGAATCACCCAGGCTTCCAGCTGAGTCTTAGTCCTGAGATTCTAAGGGCAGACCTGCCTTCCCACAGACACCCCTGGCCGACAGCAGCAGCAGTGATAGCTAGGTCCTTTCCATTTCTGAGGCTTCAGGTGACACCCACTACTGGTCTGTCTGTTTGTCTTAGTGTGGTGGCTTACATGTTCCTGTGATGCTGGAAGCTATGTCACTGGTATTTCAAATGCCAGCAGGGCCATCTAAAGTGAACAGGTTTCACTGGAGCGTCCAGACTAGCAAGAAGGAATAGGCTATCCGCTTCAGAGGAATTAGCCACTCAGACCCTTAGGATAGAAATGCAATACTGTTAGACATTGAAAACCTCATGAACGACAAGAGAATGTTGTCAGAGATGAGCCCCTCGGGTCACAAGGCACACAAAGCCTGGCTGGGGAAGAGCTGCCTTCACAAAGCAGAGTCCAAGAGAATGCTGTGGGTGGTGTAAACCCCGTGGGCGTCATCAAGCCTTTGTGACCTTTGTCTGTTGCTGTCACACAACTCGAAATGAGAAGAAGCTGCTGCAAACATTAATTACTTGGAAATTGAAATGTACGAAATATGAACCTAAGAAAATTGGAAGTTGTGAAAAATGACATGGAATGTCCAAAGACTGACATTCTAGGCAGCAGTGAGCGATGCTAGGACTGACAGATTCAACTGGTCTGGCGTCACGTGGATCATTAAAAAGGACATTTCTGAGCTTGGTGGCCACTTGCTTACCTTCAAGCCTTTAAGACCCCAGACGCTATATCTTTTGATAGCCAGGCACCATCAGCTTTCTT